TCGAGGCCACAACTGCCGAATCGGCAGACACAATCGGATCAGTCGTGGGCTGCACATCGACAAAAATCAGAGGCAGCATCAGGCAAGGACGATAACATATGTTTGCGCGCACCTTGGATACTAATGAACAAGATCGTCGACACAGGATCGAATATGCATGGCAAGCAACCACCGATGAGCACGAGGGAGTACACAATGCAAATACGCTTCCGCCCACGGCATTGACACTGTACACCCGACGATAATCGAATGGCCCGTGGGGATCACCTCCGAGATGCGGACAATAGTGAGGGGGCAGCTGGGTCGTCGGCAGTCTGCGAAGCTCTGAAGAAGCCCGCCGCAGGCGCCACTTGTTTCGTCCAAGGAACGTGAGTGGGCCGCGGGTGGGTCGCGGGGAGGGTCACGGGATGGTCGCGGGGTGGTTGCGGGGTGGGTGTCGGGTGGGTCGCGAACGAGGACGACGACAACAGCGCAACAACGCAACGCAATAACGCAACAACAATCCGCACCGCAGAATCCCACTTCGCCCACGTACCTGGGGCAGTGACTGACTGTTCGGCCACCTCGCTCTGAGATGTGTGTATATATATATATACACATATATATATATGAATGAGGAATCCGAACGGTCATTCACTGTCCCTGGCCGCGTGGCTGAAGTGAGGTTCCGCAGTGCGGATTGTTGATGCGTTGTTTGTTGTCGTCGTCCCACCCGCGACCCGGCCAGCGACCCACCCGCGACCCACCCGCAACCCAACCGCGGCCCACCCGCGGCCCACCCGCGACCCACCCCGCGACCCATCCACACTGTTTTCACGAAACAGTCGGCACCTGCGGCGGGCTCGTTGTATAATTATTGAAAGTTAAGCGCCTGCGGCGGGTCTCTGAGCCTTGCAGACTGCCGACCTCCCCGCCAGCCCCTCACTCTAATCCGCAACTGCGGGGCGCTACGGTATAGCATATATACGTGTGTATATATATACTAGAACCATCGCGCGCGCTTCGCGCGCGCTCAGGTTCTAGCCCAGGCCGGGGGGGCGCTGGACGATCTTGGACAATGCTATCAAGCACAGGCGCGCGACGGCATCTGAGGAGCTTCTGGGGTGTTCCGCATGCTTCGTCAACTGGCTGTTGGAGGCACCTCTTGGGTGCCTCTTGGGGGGGCGTCTGAGGGTCCCTTAGGGGCATCGGTTCTGCAATCTGAAGCCGTCATTGGCCGTCTTGGCTGCGTGGAGGCCCGACTTGAGGTCGAGGGCAAACCGGTGCTATTTTAAAACCTCTTGGACGTCTCCTAGGGGCCTTTTGGGCCCTTGGGAAGCTTTTGGGGTCATCTTGCGGCCTCCTGTGGGTCTTTTGGGGGGAACGCTCTGGGTCGCATTCGCCTTCTTGGGCCTCTCTCGGGGCTCTTGGGGCCCTCTCGGGCCGTCTTGGGCGCCTCAAGCACCGTCTTGGGGCCCTCGCGGGCCGTCTTGGGGCCCTCTTGGAGGCCTCTTCCTCTATATTGGAGCGGTATTGGAAGCCTCTTGGGCCGTCTTGGAGCATCGGGATGCCAAAAGGCAGAAAAAAAACAAAACCCGTCAAAGCCCAATCGTAAAACAATGAGTTGTGCCTCTTGGGGCCACCTTGGGAGATCTCTTGGAACCTCGTCGGCCCTCTTGGGAGCTTCTTGGGGGCCTCTTGGATCCGATTGGGGGCCTCTTGGGACTTCCCGAGAACCTCTCGGGGTAGAAAGCTCGGATTCTCAGTTCGTGTTTCCCTTCTTGCGCCTCTCTTGGGGCCGTCTTGGGGCCCTCTCGGGCCTTCCTGGACGCCTCAGGCACCGCCTTGGGGCCCTCGTGGGCCGCCCAGGGCCCTCTTGGAAGCCTCTTCGGCTATCTTGGAGCTGTCTTGGAGGCCTCTTCCTCCTCCTCGTCCCCCTCCTCCTCCTCCCACTCCAGCTCCCTCTCCTCCTGATCTTCCTCCTCCTCCTCCTGCAGCGTGCCCCGGAAGGCTCCCGCCGGAAAATGCTGTGCACAAGTGCTGTCACTGCTCCCGCTACAGTGCCCTGGGTGGTGGCTCAGAGGCCTCATGGGTGTTGGTTTGGATCTCGTGGTTGGCCTGTCGGGGACGTCGTGAAGGCAGTTTCGCAGTTGTGGGGCCTCCTCGGGGATGTTTTGTGGCCTCTTTAGGCCTCGTTTGGGCCTCCTGGGTGCCTCTTGGGGGCCTCCTGGGGCCTCTTGGGGGCTTCTTTGGGCCTCCTGGGGCACTCTTCAAGCGGGAGGGTCGAATTTTGGAGTCGTGGTCCCCCTCTTGGGCGCATCTTGGGGCCGTTTTGGGGCTCTGTTGGGCTGTCTTGGGCGACTCTGGGGCCGTCTTGGGGCCCTCTTGGGCCGTCTTGGGGCGCTCTTGGGGGCCTGTTGAGCCGTCTTGGAACGTCGGACAACCGAAAAGGCTGGAAGGCCAAAATCGTTCGAAAACCTTCGTAAAATGTACGATTTCGGCCTCTTGAAGCGCTTTAGAGAGGCGTCTTGAAGCGTCGTGGAGTGCCTTGGGGGGCCTCTCGGGCCTTCTTGGGCCTATCTTGGGCGTCCTGGAGCGGTCTTTCGGCGACACGGGGCCCTCTTGGGCCGTCTTGGGAGCCTCTGGAGGCCCTCCTGGACTATTTTGGACCTTCCCGGCCGCCCCGTCCTCCCACGGGGGGTCGGAGGCGGCGGCCTCGGAGGCCCTGGAACGCCGAAACACTATAAAACACAGGGAAAATGAGCCCCGGAGCCCCCATGGAGGGCGCAGGCACACTCCTGGCGGCCTCGCCCCCGTAATCTGGGTATGTATATATATATATATATATATATATATATATATATATACACAGTGTGGTGGGGATCAGCGGTCTAAATCTCACGCAGACGATAAGACGATAAGACGATAAGACGACATAAGACGATATGCCGATAAGACGGTAAGACGATAAAGGGGCAACATACGATAAGACGATAAGACGATAAGACGATATAGGGCCACACCAGACGATAAGACGATAAGACGATAAAACCAGCTTATTGTCTTATCGTCTCATCGTCTGATGACGGTGACAACGACGACCACGAGGACGCTGATGATGGTGATGGTACCGCTGATGGTGATAGTGACGCTCATGGCGATGAAAATCATAAATGGTGATGGTTGTGATGATGGTGATGGCGGCGATTGTTGATGGTGATGCTTGTGATGATGGCGAGGATGGTGATGGACGAAGATCATGGTGCACATGGGTGTTATGGCAGTGGTGATGGTGAGGGTGCTGGTGAAAAAACTTGATGATGGAAATTGCGATTTGAACCTGCGTTTCAATGATTTTGGAAGCATTGAAACATATGCCGTACATCGTTGATGGTACGCCTGTGTATATACATGGTGCGCGGGTCTCAAGCGGAAGTGGCCTGACCACCTTAGCTCAGGGCATCTTGGAAACCAAGATTGCGAGGACGTCTCGGGCGAAAGTGGCCTGAACACCATGGGGCAGGGAACCTTCGAGGTCAGACGTGCGAGGATGTCTCGGGCGAAAGTGGCCTGAGCACCTCAGCTCAACGCGTCTCGGAATTTAGAGTTGCGAGTATGTCGCAAGCGAAAGTGGCCGGACTACCATAGGGCAGGGCACCTCCGAAGTCAGCGTTGCGAGGATGTCTCAGGCGAGAGTGGCCTGACCATCTCAGCTCAAGGCGTGTCGGGACCCAGAGTCGCGAGGATGTCAAAACCGAAAGTGGCCGGACCGCCAGGGGGAAGGACATCTCGGAATCCAGAGTTGCGAGGATGTTTCAGGCGAAGGTGCCCAAATCACCTCCAGTCAAAGCACTTCGGATCCCAGAGTGCCGAGGATGTCTCACGCGAAACGGGCGAGAACCCTTCGAGAACTGCATCTTGGAACCCGGAGTGGTGAGGATATCCAAGGCGAGACTGCCCAGATCATCACAGGTCGGGGCACATGTGAGCCCACACTGTCGAGGATGTCTTACGCGAAACGGGCGTCCTCCTCCTCCTCCTCTTCCTCCTCTTCATCCTATTCCTCCTCCAATGCTGAGCCCTCCAATGCTGAGCCCTGCGAAGTTTCAACAGGGAGCCCCCCATGCTTCGACAAGAACCCTGCGAGGTTTCAACGGGGCGTCCTCCAATGCTGACCCCATGAGCCAACAGATTTCAACAAGGAACCCTGCGAGGTTTCAACCAGGGGCATTTTCTGGCGCTGCCCTGAGTGCCAGGACAGCCAGAAAAAGTTAGCCAGCGTGGTGCAAACAATCTACGTGGGCCAGTGCACGTGGTGCCATCTATGTGGTGCATTCTGCGTGGTGCAGTCCATGTGGTGCAATCTATGTGGTTCAATATATGTGGGGCCGTCGATGTGTTGTAACCTATGTGGTGCAAGCTAAGTGGTGCAATCTCTTGGACTCTTGGAGATACTTGCATGTACATGTACAATGCTCTGCCCCCCGAGGCATCCCCCAATGTTGAGCGCTCTGAGGTTTCCACCACAATACGTCCTCCACTGCTGAGCCCTGCGAGGTTTCAACAGGCATTTCTCCAATGCTGCCAACTGCCCCAGCGCCAACTGCAGATCAGCTCCCGACGATACGGCGATACGGCGATAAGACGATAAGACGGTAAGACGCTATATGCATGCCCCTATATCGTCTTATCGTCTTATCGTCTTATCGTCTGGCGATGCCTTATATCGCTTTATCGTCTTATCGTCTTATTGTCTTATATCGTCTTATCGTCTTATTGTCTTATCGTCTGGCTTTGAAATAACGACCCCTGTTTCCCACCACCATGTATATATATATATATATGGCCAATCGATCGGCGATGTGCCCACGAAAGCGACACCGCACGGTCCTGGGTGGGGCGGGCTATCGGGCTTTCTTGGCGATGAGTGGGCGATCGGGCGTCGATGCGTCCCCCCCCCGAGCCTATCCCCCCTTAGCGCTGCTCCTCAAGGGAGGGAGGGGGCAGCGGCGAGAGAAGGCTCACGCCGTCGGCGTCATGTGCAGGCAGAGGCTGAGGCCAGCCACCTCGCCTTCATCGTTCATCCCGTAGCTGGCCATGGTGCGGCCGTCCTCCATCGGGCAGCCAGACATCAGCAGCCTCTGCTGCCCCGTGGGCGTGCCGCACGCCTCCTGAATCCTGCCCTTCACCTCGGAGACCCTGCTCTGACTCGTCACGCTGATCGTCAGCAGCTCGAGGGTCCCTCCGGAATTCCCCAAATCCCAGAAGAATGCGCCCTTGCCGTCTTCTCGGGTCGGGCGAAAGGGGGGGATAGCAAAGGGGGGGGTTGAGAATCAGCTCGCGTAGCTGATTTTCCCGGCGCCTCCTGGCGCCCGAGGCGGCTATGTATCGCGAGGCATGGGCCCCTCGGTGGGGCCGAAACCAGCTGCATGCAGCAAATTTCGTAACCCCCCCTTTCCCAATCCCCCCCCCTCTCGTCCGGCCCGATCTTCGGCCTGGGGGCTGAACACCTTCACGCTGATGGTGGCGGGCATCCGACGGGAGAGCCAAGGCGCGCCGCGAAGCGCAAAAAGGACGGGGTCTGGCCGGTGGCCTGCCGCCTCCGAACTTGAGCCAAAATGG